CAAACCTCACCCTAGGTCTCACACATGCAACCTCCCCTGGGGTCTCGCGCACACACACATGCCCCCTCTACTCCTCCAGGTCTCACATAAATGGACCCCCCCCCTTCTTTCTGGGTTCCTTGCGTGCACAAACTTCCGCCTGGATCTCCACACATGCATACACACACACAGACCCCTCCCTGGATCTCTCACACACACAGACTCCCCCTCCAGAGTTTCTCACACACACGTGGACCCTGCCGGGTCACACACACATGCATACATATACCCCCCAGTCACACACGTACAGACACCCACCACACACACACCCGTCCCCTGCCTCACACACACACAGACCTCCCCTGCCTACCTCTAGGGCAAGGGATGTCCTGGCACTGTCACACTGGGGTATTGGGGTGCCAGGCCCTGTGACAACTGGAGGATGTCTTTCCACAGCTGGAGAGCCACGGGCTCCTGTGAAACCCAGCAGTTACCAGCTCAGGGGGCTACAGCACCCAACCCCTGGGGTGCCTAAAGATCCTTTCAGAGGTGACACAGGACGTTCAGCCTGCCAATACAAAACCAGCTCTGTTGTTTTTCGGTAGGCAGAAAAATGGCTCATTCAAGAGCTGACAAGGTTCCTTGGGTGAATTTGATATCTTTTATTAGACCAACCCAAATAGTTGGAGAATATTTATTAAGCAAGCTTTCGGGTTCAAAAACTCTTCGTCAGGCTAAGGAAGTTTCAGCAGTTGGTGCGTGCATTCAAGAGCTGGCATTTTCCGACGGCACCCATGAATCTATCCAGGGGGCCCTCAAGTCTAAAATAGTCTAGAACCACTCATGTAGCCTCTTAGCCCCCCCTCAGTTGGCACAGCACAGTGTGTCAGGTTGATTCACATGATAAGCTTAGGGATTTCCCATAGGAATCCAGAGCTGTGGTCCCTGAGTTCTCTGTGCTTGAAAAACAGCTCTTGTTTTTTGGTACCAGGTAGGCAGATAAAGAGGGGAAGCCAAGAGCTGGCCTTTTCCAAGGGAGCCATGAGTCTTATCTAGGGGGACCATGAGTCTAAAAAGGTCAGGAATCATGAATGTAGCCTTTTCAGCTCCACCCAGTGCTTTGGCATTTGCATGCTGGGCCTTTGGTAGCAATGGGGCTGCAGGCAAGACCTGCACCTCCAGGGTCTGGCCTGGAGTTACCATCAAAGCATCTGGGATTGTATTTATGTTTTGTATTCTTGCATCACTGTGCACTTGATCTAAGGAGCATGGGTCTAACCTTTCAGTCTCCCACCCTCCTTGTAGACAGCTTGGGAGTTAAACACCTTTAGATCAATTGGGCGATAAATAAGGTGTTCACTTGAGTTGAACTACCTCTGCTGAGTTAATTCAACTGGGGAGAAGCATTCTTTTTCCAGTGAATACATTAGTCAATTATTCTTGTGAAGTTTAAGGGCCCAACAGTGCCAACATTTATGCTTCTGAATAATATTTTCTAACAGCAGGAA